AAACAAACAAACACAGAGCATGATGTTCCTTCCCAGCTAACCTGTTACCTCTTCAGAGACGGCCCAAGCCTCCTCTCTCCCTCAGTCACTGGCTCACAATAACCCATATTTGCCGTATGGCTCACAGAGTCCTCACACACATATGCAAGCCGAGAATCTCACTGACCCTCCTGTCCAGAAGGAAGAGAACAGGTGCCCCCGCGACAGTCGAGCAGAAGCCACGAGGCTCAGCACCAGTCGGGAGTGCTGCTCCCTGTGTCTGGCTCCCTTCCCACCACGCCCCACAGCCCGAGCTGAGCTGTGGATTCTGAACCGCGGCCACACTTCAATGATGCGATCAAAGTCCTCTTTTCTGAAAGTTCTAAGAAACAAGCTTACATGGAGTGCTTCTGCCACTCGAAGGTATTTGGTCTCCTCAGTGGTAAGGCCCTTGTGCGGTGTGTAGCCAGCATCTCTCAGTCCGGCCTGTTGTTCAAAACGGTGAATGCTTTCCTGGGTCTGTTCTGGGAACAGAGGAGACAGTCATGTCAGCCCTCTCTCCCCTCGTAAACTGGAGAAGTCAGCAGAGACGCGCGGTTCTCCCCAGTTCTCTCCACCTGGAGGGAGCCTTCTCTCGCCCAAGCTCAACGGCAGAGAGTCCTAGAGGGACAGCATGACAACCTCCAGCCAGACGCTCCTCCCTCCTTTCCTCTGTACACTGTGGTGTTTCCTTTGCACGGAGAGACACAACACGGGGAAGGTAGCTGACATTCAGACAATAAAGATTCTCCAGATATAAAGTTCCCCTAATGGGGCCAGACAGTGACACAGTGGTTAAGGCACTGGACTCCCACATGGCAGAACATAGTTTGAGTCCCAGACCCGGGAGCTTGAAAATAACGCTGGGCACGTATGTATACATGCCAGCAATCCTGAAAGGAGAATGGAGAAGGGACTGCAACGTGGTCATTCCCCTCGGGGAGTGATTTCTCATATTTCCTGCCTGCCTCTCTGCAACAAGTACATGCACTCCATGGTTAAAAAAAATTTTAAATAAATAAGTTCTTCTAAGAGAGGTTTCTTAATAAAAAGTTTATTTATTTAACTTATTTAAATAAATGAGTTCCCCTAAAGAGGTTCACTCAGGGTAAGTGACACCAAAGACCAACAAGATTGGTCCAAAGAACCTGCCCTGAACTAGCCAGGCCACTGATCAGCGCTCCTCCTGAGAACACAGGGAACACTGACTCTGTGCATCCTGGCCCGGTAACCCCGTAAACAGTAAGTCAGTTAAATGGTGGGATGAATGCCGGCTGAATCTGTTTAACCTGTATATAAAATACAGAATGGAGAAGGGACTGCAGCGTGGCCATCTCCCCTGGGGGCGATTTCTCACTTTCTGTCTCTCTGTCTCTCTCTGTCTTTCTGCTGAGTGCACGCACCCTATGGCAAAAAAAACTCTCAAAAAAAATAAATAAATAAAATAGAGAGTACACCCTTATGAACAGGAATGTGGAACCTATGGACCAAGTCTGAACAGCAGATGCAATTTATGACTTAGTTCTCTCACAGAGAAGTATTTCTATCAGAAATAGAAGCAATAACAAACAAACAAACAAACAAAAAACGAACAAACACGTAGTTACCTAAAAATCTAAAAGTGAGAAAAAATGTAATGAATTTAGTATACTACTATTAGGATTTTAAATGAAGCTAAATTTTTTTAAAAAGTACTTTATTCACTTTGATTTATTTTTATTATTATTATTTTTATTTTTAAATTTGACCGGATAGACAGAGAAAGAGGGAAAATGAGAAAAAGCAAGCCACTAGGTCTGGGACTCGAACTGTGGTCGACCACATGGGAGTCCACCATCTCAACCACCAAGCCACCTGCCGGCCCCTGAAGCTAAGTTTTTAAAAATTTAAGACAGAACCAGTAGACGGTGAAATGGTTATGTCACTGGACCCTCATGTAGTTGACCACAGTTCAAGTCCTGGACCTGGCAGCTTGAAACTCATGATGGGCACATATCCATGTGTACCCAAAATCCCAGGAAGAGAATGGAAGAGAAGGGACTGTGGCATGGCCATCCCTCCTAAAGAGGTGATTTCTCACTTTCCCTCTCATTCTCTCTGCCTCTCTCCAGCGAGTGTATATACACCCTATGGTAAAAACCTTAAAAAAAAAAAAAATTTAAGCCTAGCAACATCAGGGACCAGCAGGTGGCGTGGTGGTTAAGGCGCTGGACACTCCCACATGACCAACCACAGTTCAAGTCCTGGACCTAATGGCTTGCTTTCGCACTTTCCTTCTCTCTCTCTCTCCCCCTCTATGTCTCACTCTGATCAAATTTGAAAAGTGACAATAAATGAATAAATAAAATCAAATAAATAATTCTTAAAAAAAAAAAAAGACTAGCAACATCAAAGCTCATGGCGATATTAACTGAAAATAATAGAATGGTGTGTCTACTCTATCTGCAGTTACAAGGAAATATGCATTATGTTTGACTGGGCCAAATAAGAATCTCAACAGTAGTGCAGTAGGGTGTTATAATGTTCTGTACTATTGTTGGAACACTTTTTTAAAAATAATTATTTATTTATTTAATCCCAGTTGTTGTTGTTGTTGTCATTATTACTTTTTAAAAATTTAACCAGAGAGAAATCTGGGAAAGTGAGAAAGCAAGTCATCAGGTCCAGGATCCAAACTGCAGTCAACCATGTGGGAATCCAGTGCCTCGAACCACACCACCTGCCGGCCCTGGCAAACTATTTTTAATAAAAAAGTTGCACTGTGCTAAAAGGACAAAGACCGAGCTTTCTAACACTACTAGAACATTTAAGAAAATACAAGTAGAAGTTGGTGATTCGAATGTATGAATAAGAGAAAACCAATGCCGGGAACTAGCAGTTAGCATAATGGCTATGTCACTGGACTCCCACGTAGTCGACCGTGGTTCGCGTCCCGGACCCGCTGGCTTAAAACTCACGCCGGGCGCGTGTGCATGCGTGCCCAAGATCCTGAGAGGAGAATGGAGGAGAAGGGATTGCGGCGTGACCATCCCCCCCCAGGGGGTGATTTCTCGCTTTCCGTCTCTATGTCTCTCTCTGTCTGGCGAGCACATGCGCCCTATAGTGAAAAAAAAAATCTCTCCAAGAGAAAACCAATGTAGGGTCAGCAGGTGGTGCGATGGTTATGTTGCTGGACTCCCACATGGCTGACTGCAGTTCAATTACCAGACCCAGTGGTTGAAAATCACACAGAGCACGTGTGTGTGCATGCCTAAGATCCTGGGAAGAGAACGGATTGCAACATGGCCATCCCCCGATGGGGGGCTGATTTCTCAGCCCTCTCACAATCTCTATCTTTCTAGCAAGTGCACACACCCCATGGCAAAAACCTCTTAAAAAAAAAAAGTACCGGCAGATAACATAATGGTTATGTTGTTGGACTCCCACATAGTTGACCACAGTTCAAGTCCCAAGACCCTGAGAGGAGAATGGAGAAGGAATCGCAGCGTGGCCATCCCCCCCAGGGGGGTGATTTCTCACTTTCTCTATCTCTGTCTATTTGGCGAGCATGCACTCTATAGCAAAAATCTCTCTAAAAAATTAAAAGAGAAAACCAAAGTAAAAATGTGAACTTTTGGTCCTTTGTGAATTATCCAGGACCTATCCAAGACAACACTGATGCCCACCCGCAGAAGACAGACAAGGGTTTTGGCGTCAAAGCTGAGCCTGCCACAGAACATCGACGTGCCGCTCCACCGGGAGAGGCCCCTCTGCTAACGGTTGTGTATCTAATGACGGTTAACTGCCCACAGCCCACGAAGAAGGGGAACTCCTAAGGCCAGGCTCATGAGGACCACTGGCCACTCATCCTGAAGACAAAAGACACCCGTGTCACTAAACCCAGGTCTTTCCTG